AGTAGCTGGAACTACAGGCGCGTGCTACCATGCCCGGTTAATTTTTTGATTTATTGTAGTGACGAGGTCTCGCCAAGTTGCCCAGGCGGGTCTTGAACCCACGGGCTCAGGCAATCCACTTACCTTTGCTAACTTCTAATAGGATTTTTTGGTTTTCTTCTTTCAATTTGTTTGATTTCCTTGTAGATCCTAGATGTTAGGCCTTTGTCAGATGCAACGCTTACAAATATTGTTTTCCTTTCCTTGGATTGTCTCTTTCTTCTCTTGATGGTTTATTTTGCTGTGCACTTTTTAGTTTGATAAGGTCCCACCTTAGCCTTTGTTTGCATTTACTTTTGAGGATTTGGCCATTAATTTATTGTCTACTCTGATGTCCAGGAGAGTATGTCCTAAGTTTTCTAGCATTCTTATAGTTTGAGGTTTGAGATTTAAGACCTTGATCCATATTGAGTTAATTCACGTATATGGTGATAAATAAGGGTCCAGATTCATTCTTCTGCATGTGGCTAGCCAGTTTTTCCAGCACTGTTTGCTAAATGTGGATTCCTTTCCCCAATGTTCTCATAGGCTCTGTGGAGGATGAGTTGGTTGAAGGTTCATGGTTTTATTTCCAGATTCTCTGTCCTATCCCATTGGTCTGTGTCTATTTCTATGCCAGTACCATGCTATCTTGGTTACTGTAGCCCTGTGGTAAAATTTGAAGTTGGAAAGTGTGATTCTTCCAACCTTGTTCCTTTTGCTGAGGGTTACTTTAGCTGTTCTGTCACTTTTTTGCTTCCATACGAATTTCTGTATTGTCTTTTCTAGGTCTGTGAAAAAAGATGCTCAAGATTTGATAGGGATTGCATTGAATCTGTAGATTGCCTTGGGTAGAATGGACACCTTGACAATACTAGAGTCTTCCAATTCATGAACATGGGATATTTTTCCATTTGTGTCATCCTTGATTTCTTTGAGCAAAAAACTTTATCTTAAATAGATTGAAGGCATGGGATTTAACTAGTTTAGTAGCCCTTCCTCCCCTTCCCTTTGTGTGTGTGTGTGTGTGTGTGTGTGTGTGTGTGTGTGTGTGTGTGTGTGTGTTTGTTTCTGTTTTGTTTTTTTGAGTTGAGGTCTCACTGTGTCACTCAGGATAAAGTGCAGTAGCACATTCACGGCTCACTTGCAGCCTGTACCTCCTGAGCTCAGGCAATCTCACCTCAGTCTCCTGAGTAACTGGGACTACAGGAGTGCATCATCATGCCCAGCTTTTTTTTAATTTTTTTTTTTTTATTTTTGTAGAAACAGGGTCTCACTATGTTGCCCAGACTGGTCTTGAACTCCTGGGCTCAAGCTATCCTCCTGCTTTAGCCTCCCAGAGCACTGGGATTATAGACGTGAGCCACTGTGTCCAGCCCTCTCCCCTTTTTTTGATGAGATGTTCACAAGGGACAACTTGCTAAAGAAATCTTTGTGAGTCATCCTCTCCATATCTCGAAGCTGTTATTCTGTGGGCTGTACTACTTACTACTTAGCCAGCAATTATTCACTGATACACCAAACTTAGGAGGATTGAAGAACAAGGGGTGTTTTATTATAACTTATGTTTATCCACACACCCCCTTATGATTAAGGATAAATTGGGAGGTCTGCCTTTTGATAACAAATGTACCTAAACACTAAACCAAGTGCATGTAAAAGCTATTTTTTACATACTGTCTTTTCTCAGTAGTTCTTCACCCCAGTTTTGCGGTATAATTTTAGTGTCCAAGCTTGGATCACACACTTCTAAAATTAATTTATGATCCTGTTCAGTTTATATTATTAATTGACTGTGCTAGATCATAACACCTTTCAGCAGTAACAGCTCAGCAATAGCAGTAGGCAGGTAGTCTGCCAACTAATTCCAAGCTGGAGTGATTATTATATCTAAGTGCAAGTGAGCCTATGTCCTGATACACCTGTTATATACCAAATCCAGTGTTGGTATGTTTTCACTCTTAGCCCATTCTTTAAGATGTACTCCTTAAGCATAGGCTAGCACCCTTTGCACAAATTTGGCAAATGATTTTCTTTAATAATCATAGTGAAATCTAAACATAACAAAAACACTTAGAAAATATCACCAGAAATGTAAAGTATGGTGTGTTAAGCAAGCCTGTGTTTAGATGCAAAACCACACTGAAGTATAGAAATAGTATTTGTTTTATTGTGTGTATTACTGTTCTCTCTGGATTATTGGTACACAATCATAAGTACCACAATACATAATATATTTAGGCTTC